ATGTTTCCGAGTATATTCAATGTGTTCTAAGAGGAACTTAGCCTTCAGCCTGAGCAAAAATATAAAAAAAAAATCTTGGAAGGACTATAAACCCTCGCGAACACAGTCTCATGAGAAAACCGTATTCTGACTAGCATGGGATCTTTCCAAAAGAATATCCAAAAAAAAATTCACAGCTCTCACTAGAACATTCTTCAAAAAGTAGACTTCGCTACTGTCGTTGAAACTTCTTCCCTTCGCTTTTATGGTGACAGTTTTAATTTTTTGCAGAAAACGCATTCGTTGAAAGCAGCTTCCCCAAAATGGAGCCATTCTCCAGAAAAAACTCGGTCAAGGCCATGATTTACGTAAGTGAGGTAAAAAATTGACAAAAAACACAATAATTGAAATACTGCATGAAATGGCTTAGAAGAGATAGCAAAAAGCAGTATTAGAAAATGGTGCAGAGTTTCGATGCTTACAGACAAACTAGAAACGAGAATTCTTCACAATTGCTATAGGTTGTCCCAAAAGTATGTACACCCTGTTTGATCGCTGATCAATTTCTTCTCACTAAGTCTTGCCGATCTTCAAGCAAAATTCTGTGTAGCTGGCTTCATCTTAAATTTACGGTATAGAGCGAAGTACAGCTGTTTTCATTACATATGACGGTAGAAACACCATGAAGGGCCAATGAGGGCCCTATATTAAGCCAGAAAGGAGACCAGACAACCTAAAAACCCTTACATTAGATCAGGTGGCTGATCTAACAATAAGTATGAAGTTGGCACTTTACCATGATGCTCCAAACATTTCGTAACTGCCTACTCCAGTTCCGTGAAGATATGATTACATCTCATAAAAACTTGGAAAACTAATAAAAGGTTATGCAGTAAAATCACTGAGCTTGGAAAACCTTTTCATACAACTTGTCAGATCCTTCGAGACTTTTTCGGAAGCTGATTCACAGTGGCGCTCTGCGCTGCAATTTCTATCGTAATCCTACAGTAAATAAGACAGATCGGTATTTCGCTCCATACCGCGAATCTAATTTGAAGCCAGCTCTACAGAATGGTTCGTGGAGATCGCCAAGAGAATTCGTGAGAAGAGAGATATTGTGAAAACAGTGCATATCCACTTTCGGAACTCCCTAAATTGAGTCGGCAGCTCACCTAGTGCATAATTTCGGAACTAGACAGAATGAAAGGAAAAAAATTGATACACAGGTCTCCAAAATGATCTAACCCGCTAAAAATGTTTGATTCGCCTGAAAGAAGCCCTTGCAGCGCAGCTTACGGATACCGAAAAAACCGAAGCCGCCAAAACCAGTGATGCCAAAAGAGCCTACGGTAGAGGAGCCTACGGTATACTATATCAGAAAGGTAGTACAATAGCATTGCTCTACTTGCGTCTGAAATCTCACATAACTTTTAGGTATCAATCAATAATCTGCAAGTTATAAAGCCCAAACAAGAAGAACGAGCAGCACCCATGTTTCCGAACAGATCTGTTTGTACGACACCATGTGAACTCATCAAATGTTTTGCTGGGAGCGATAGCATTGACAAAGCATTTGATCGAGACTGTAGCTTGACAAGCTTCGAGAGGAGAAGAAGGTAAATCACCACACTACTTTGAACCAGTTCTTCAATGGAGTAGTTTTGACATTGTAAGAGTAGATGCACACACATAATGGCATCAAACGAAGTTTTTGGATAGCACAGAGCTCCAAATCAAGTTTAGAAATGAGCTAGTGGAAGAAAAGTTAAAATACATATCCTTACATTTCAAGCTGACCGCGTGTAGTAAATAGATACTTTCAAGGTCTCAAAAACAGTTTGTGGACAAACATCACGCTCACCAGCAATTTTTCTGCCCCGAGCAAGCAAGCCAAATCGAGATCCATTTCACAAGTTCTTGTTCTACTGACGTTATACTACAGGTAATATAGTGTTATATAGTGCCTAAGAATAAACCGAATAATATAAAAATTACAGGTACAGGCGCCAAATGGTGAAACCAGCAGTTATCTCCGACCAGGACGGGATCAAACTGTTTTCTTCAATCCTACAAAGGTAATATCTATGCTTAAAAATACAGCGCA